GTGTGGAAGATTCATTCCTATCTTGATCTTCAAGGCAAGTGTCACTTCTGTAAGAAATACTGTGGTAGTGAGCATCGTCAGTGCAAAGGACCATATGTGCGAGAGAAGACGATCTTCCCACCAGGCTACGTCGCACCTCCCAAGCCAGATAATTACGTGCCGCCTCGTGCGAAGTCTTCACCACCGAGCCAAACTCAAGCTGGAAGAGCGACAAACCCACCCGCTGGACGTCCATCCACGTCGTACGCCCGAGTCGCAGCTGCAGGAGAATTCCCAGAGTTAGATCAAGAATCGGTGGCAGCGTTAGAGGCTTTAGATGAAGAGTTGAAGGAAGATGGAACTGAAGGGTGCGTGACTCAAGCCAAAACACCACGAGTGATTTTAGAATTTGAATGTGGAGGCCAACGCGTACGAGCACTAGCTGATCCAGGATCGGAAATCAATCTCCTTACAGATCGTGGAGCGGACCATCTCAAATTGCTTAAACGACAACTGGTTCGCCCGACTCAACTAGGCCTTGCAGTTACAACCAGCGGTCAAGCGACGATCCTTACCCACTTCACCATTGCTAATCTGAAAGATGAGGTATCAGGGAGACGCTTTGACAGGACGTACTTTAAAATAGGAGAGGTTGGAGGAGATTTTGACATGATCCTGGGGACTCCTTTTTTTAATCTCAATCAATTGTCTGTTTCTATTACTCAACGTGCTGCTGTATGTGAACGAACTGGCATGAAAATGTTGGATTTCAGGTTCTTACGAGAATTAAGAGAGAAGGAGGAGAGCATGAATCAGCCGCGTATTGTTGAGCCGAAAGTGAGAGATCGAGAAAGCTGGAGAGAAGCAGTGAGCAGACCAGAGAAGATGGCAGCAGCGGTAGGTGAAGTTGTAGAGAGCAGAGGGGAGCGCTTGGAGGCAGAGTTTTTCACCGAATTTAGTGATCTCTTCCCAGTTGACATCCCGGCAGTATCAGACGAGGCGGAAGATGAAGGCCTGTTTGTCGACGGAACATTCCCAGAACGCTTACAAAATGAGAGCTCAAAAGTAAGACATAAGATCATATTGAAGGATCCGAACGCAATCATCAATGAGAAACAATTCAATTATCCGCCGAAACATATGAATGCGTGGAAACGGCTGGTTGATCAACATCTCGCAGCCGGACGAATCAGACGATCCACGAGTCAATACGCTTCTCCGAGTATGATCATTCCGAAGAAGGACCCTAACGAACTTCCAAGATGGGTATGCGACTACCGCGTCTTGAACAGCCTGACCGTGAGGGACCGCGCACCATTACCTAATGTAGACCGGTTGGTCAGGCTGGTGGCTACGGGAATTTTTTTTTCAATTATTGATTTAACCAACGCTTTTTTTCAAACCAGGATGAGAGAGGCTGATATACCATTGACAGCAGTTCACACACCGTGGGGTTTGTATGAGTGGTGTGTCATGCCGATGGGTCTTACAAACGCACCGAGTACACACCAAGGACGATTAGAAGAAGCTTTAGGAGAATACTTAAATGATATTTGTGTCGTTTACTTGGACGATATTGTTGTATTTTCAAATTCAGAAGCTGAACATGTAGAAAACACTAGAAAAGTCTTACAACGCCTTCGAGAAGCCAATTTATACTGCAGCCAAAAGAAGACCAAACTATTTCGTGAGGAGATCAAGTTCTTGGGCCACTGGATTTCAGCAAAAGGCATTAGAGTAGATGATGAAAAGGTGAAGCAAGTAGTAGATTGGAAAACGCCAAAATCAGCAAAAGGGGTGAAAAAATTTTTAGGAACGGTACAATGGATGAAGAAATTTATCTGGGGTCTTCAAAATTATGTCAACAAGCTTACCCCTTTGACAAGCAGTAAATTAGATTCAACGAAGTTTCACTGGACAACAAAAGAAGATAATGCATTTCACAACATTAAACGTCTCATGACCTCATTACCTCACTTAAAGAACATTGACTTCGACTCTGACAATCCGTTGTGGCTATTCACTGACGCTAGCGGTTCAGGTCTTGGAGCGGCGCTGTTCCAAGGAAAGGAGTGGAAGTTGGCATCACCAATTGCATACGAATCGAGGCAAATGACACCAGCTGAAAGGAATTATCCGGTCCACGAACAAGAACTTTTAGCAGTCATGCACGCGTTAAACAAGTGGAGGATGCTTTTGTTGGGTATGAAAGTTAACGTAATGAGTGATCATCACTCATTGACGTATCTATTGAAACAGAAAAATTTAAGCAGGAGACAAGCTCGATGGATAGAGACTTTAGCTGATTTTGATGTGGAGTTTAAATATATCAAAGGAGAAGAGAATTCAGTTGCGGACGCTTTGTCGAGGAAAGACGTAGAGGACGAGGTTCTTACAAGTTATGATGTCAACTGTGCAGCTTCACTTATTGAGGCGGGTCCAACTTTAGCGCCTGGGGTCAAGACCAGGATTCAGGCTGGATACTCGGCTGATGGATTTTATAAGGCTTTGTCATCAGTTCTGCCATTACGAGATGAATGCGTTGAAGAAGATGGACTCCTCTTTGTTGAAGGACGATTGTATATCCCACCAAGCGACGGGTTGCGACAAGAACTGATTAGTGAAGCACACTCGAGGCTAGGTCACTTAGGCAACTTGAAGACCATCGCTGATCTGAGGCGCGACTTCTTCTGGCCGAAAATGGCAAAAGAGGTCGAACTATTTGTTCGCTCTTGTGACCTATGCCAAAGGATTAAGACCCCGACAACCGCACGTCCAGGCATGCTGATGACACCTCCAATGCCAACCACACCTCTCGACTGCCTTGCCATAGACTTCATCGGACCTTTACCGAAAGTCAACAACTCGGACATGCTCTTGACTTGCACGTGCCGTCTATCAGGGTTCATTAGACTCATACCATGCAACCAGACAGACACAGCAGAGAAAACAGCGTCACGGTTCTTTACTAGCTGGATTGGTACCTTTGGGGCGCCGACCTCAATCATAAGCGACAGAGATAAGACATGGACGTCTGCGTTCTGGAAAGCACTCATGAAACGACTTGGGACCAGCTTTCACATGTCTACGGCGTTTCATCCTCAAGCCGATGGGCGAAGCGAACGTACAAACCGAACAGTGGGACAGGTCTTGCGAACTTTCACAATGAAGCGCCAAGGCAAGTGGCTTGAGTCTCTACCAGCGGTCGAGTATGCCATCAATGGAGCTGTCAACATTTCCACAGGCAAGTCGCCGTTCGAATTGGTTTTTGGTAAGACCCAGCGGTCCCTTGACGCAACAGGACCACATGAGGACGATCCGTTGGCTTTACAGAAATGGCTAGATCTAAGAACCAACGCGTGGGCGACAGCAAGAGATTCACTCTGGACAAGCCGGGTACAACAAGCCGTACAACATAATAAACATCACCGACCAGCACCCACAATCGAAGACGGCTCATGGGTCCTTTTAGATTCAGGGGATTGGAATGGGAGACACACAGGCGGGGTGAAGAAGCTTCGTGAAAAGTACGAGGGTCCCTACAAGGTCGTCAGGACGTTCAATCATGGCCTCAACCTCGAGCTCGAATTACCGGCAGGTGATAAACGTCACCGAGTCTTCAACGTGTCAAAAATCAAGCCATACGTGGAACGTGGAGGTGTGGAGCGCGAGGAGGAGGTACAAAAGTAAGTTCCTCCCAAAGTATGCACCGCCCGGGTAGCTACCCCTAAAAAATAAGCTCGAAAGAAAGACATACCTTGGCCACTCCGTGAGCACATAACTTCGACATTTTCTTCCCAGGACTCCGTCGACAATTGGGGACGAACGTGGCCACCTTTCTCTTCTACCGATTTTTATCTTTATTTTGCCATTTAGCTTTGTTTCTATTTTTTTCTTTTCTTCTTTCTCTTTTCTTTTCTCTCTTTTGTTTAGTTTTCTTTTAAAGAACAGGTTTCACTAATTTTATAGTAGGATTCAATCAAATTATTTCTTTTCTTTGGATTTTGATTTTTCAATTTTTCTTTTCTTTTCATTAAAGGCTGGTCGAACATTTCCTTAAAGGAGGGGAGACTGTAAGACCTGCGGCCATTACAATACATAAATACTAAGATACATATCAAAACTACTTAATTATTAACAGACAGATTTCTATTTCCTTTATATAGTTGTTTTGACTTCTACGCTTGGTTCCTCAGTGATTCGGGACTGACCTTCCTACCCCTTATCCTTTGGAACCAGGTAAAGTCCTTATTTCAAATACTTGTTTTCCTTTACTTTCAATCAGACTTGTAGGAGTGATTCGGGACTGACCTTCCTACCCCTTATCCTTTGGAACCAGTCTTACGTACTGTGTTTTGATAGATTTGAAATAATAAGGTCTCTTGGGTTCTAGAAACTCTCGTGCTGTGATCATCACAGCGTCCCTTGTGCGATTTCCAGTGAAGGTTCTTAGGAACCTTACAACATGCTAACCACAACTCACTCTTGTCTGTTACAACAAAAGTGTAAATCTATCAGTACCATGGTTGTTTCAAATTGATTGATCAGAGAAATTTGGAGGGTAATTGGCAAAATGATAACTAGATTTTAACAGAAACACTCAACCAAGACCTCAAAGACAAGAGCTTTAGACACAATGAAAGAAAATTTTATTAAAAATTCTTAGACATAAAAAGGCCATGATTAGAAATTTTATTACTTGAGTCAGACTATCTATGAAGGAAAATGAGCTGACTGTATTTTTCTGTCAGTTCTTTCTGGATTAGTGTTGCACGACTTTTTGGACTAAGTTTTTGTGCGTCATGGGTGGATAACATCCCACAGAACATTTTGAAAAAGTAGTACGTGGTGGAAAGTAGAACTGTAGGATCAGGTGGTTCATTCAGCACACGGTTGTCAATAAACTCTGAGTTATGAGGAAGTACATATGATCTGGTTGCAAGTGGTGGATGGGTGATAGGTCACCATCTCATTACATTGAGCGGAGAATACGTCAAAATCATTCTAATATTCAACTTTATCTACGAGTCACATCTTCCATCTTTCCAGCCATCTCTCCAGCGTTGCGCAACCAGTGAGCAATCGAATTCCTCTTTTCCCAGTCGCCGATTCACTTCATTATGAGTCGCACACATCCATGCTTCAAGTTTTTCTTGGGAGCTCACGTCAGGTGGATTCCTTTTGACTTCCTGTTCCAGATCTTCAGCGCAGTTCCGACACGGATAGAGAACTGGTAGTGCATTGAGTAGCTGTAGCATCGAAGTCTGCTGAGCTTCGGTTGGTTTGGGCGGATAATAAGCAGCAGTGGTATGAAGAAATGTCCATGTGTGGCGGCCCAGACGTTCGACATCAGCAGGACAATCTTCACGAAGACCGTTGTGATCCAATCGAACTTGATCTCGGGAGGTGTTGGTTTTGGTTGTAGCAGAAGAATCTGCCAAGGCACCGGAATCTTCGGTGGGTGTCCGACTGGAAGAAGGTTGATTTTGAGTTAAGGTATGAGACCAAGCTTTGAAACCTGTGCATATTTTGCATGGCTTGCCATCGGGTCCCAAGACATAGCCTATCATGGATGAAAGCAAGTCAGTCAGGACTTGATGAAATCTTTCGGGGTGGTCTAAAGGAGTCTAGAAGCATACCGGAAGGTTCCTTTTTCGTTTGTCCATCGTCAGAGCCTTTTGATATCATCATTAGTTGATGATGATGGTGATACACCACGAAGACGCTTTTGAGCGGAAGGACGTCGGGATTGTCCGAGATCATATTCTTCCGTCGGCACCCCCGTTTGGGCTGTCCCCTGGATGTCAGTGCGTGCGGACGTCCGCAGCACACACTCAGGATGCCAGGCTGGGCCTACATTTAAATAAGAACACCCTTGGAAGCCCGTGGGATGTCCCGAATTTTGATTCTGACCCGGGCTCCTTGGATCAGTTTCGTCAGGATATCCCTTCCCCTGCAAAAAATCCTGACGTCCCTAGGACATCAGCATGTCCTTGTGGTGTAATAAGTGACAATCGAATGGCGAAGCTTTTGAGTTTCGATTGGCGAGTCGGATTAGGTTTTAGACAGGGCATCGCATCGGTACCTCACTGAACGGGTTCAGCACGGGCCAGGTTTGAATTTTTTTGTCAGTTCAAAATTTGAAGTCACAATCATTCGAACTTTTGGATTCGAAGTTCTGATATACACCATCTCTCCTCGAAATCCAAGTTCAATTTCAATTTCAATGACTGGCAAGCGCAAACGAGTAATCGAAGCCTGTGTGCCAGAGCAAGGCCAAAATCCGTTCAGAAAGCTTAAGATGGGGAAGTCTGATGGCACGCATTCCGATGTCAATTCCGGAGCGAACGCCACAAGCTCTAGGCATGCCAACTTTCACTCTATGCCATCCTCGACGACTGGCACTGGCAATGTCTTGCCGCTCTCTTTCCCCCCTGAGCGGTTACGATTCACGGGGCATTCTATTCCTGATCCTCCTTTCGCGCGTGGGTTTGCTTATCATGAGCCTCATTAATCAACTTGAAGTGCAACAGTTGATGTGTTTCCCCTTTGTGATCGGGATGCGGATGTAGCCTCCAAGCAAGTCTCAAATGCAAGGGTAGTCCTCCCCCGTACCATCGGCTCGGCTGACATCCCAAATAGATACCGGGATGTTCATCCGCCGAGCAAACAACCTAAGCTAACAAAAATTCAGCGCAAGCTTCGGTCCCACGCTCAAAAAGGTACCAACCATGAGCGTCCCACAAAGAAAGTCATAGTAGCGGCTCTCAACAGATTAGCTGCATCACAAAGTCCTGGTTTGGAGATTGATGAAAATCAAAGGAGGGATGAGGTCAGAAATATCAGGCAAGCGGATCACAACACGGCTGCTCAGCATCGACAGGGAGAGGAGCCTGCTCTCCGGAGTGATCCAGCTCTAGTAGGCCTTAGACTCTTCCGAATATAAATTCTGGTGGCCATGACACACTAACCTTCCGTGATCGCAGGAACCATCAGAAGAAGGCTCGGTCTTTTCTGCCCAACACCGCACTGAACCTCACAATGCACATCATGAGAACCTATGTCAGTCACCAAAACAGTCTATTCCCGCGACTTCACTCCCATCTTCAATGCAAACTAAAATCGACTTGGCGTACGCGGGAACTGGGGAGTCTTTGTAGCCTATGGGAAGCAACATGAAAAGGAAGAAATGCGGAAGCGAGGAGCAGGTCTCAAACTACAGGTCAGACTTTCTGCAGTGAACGTTGACTTTTCTGAAACTGAAAACGCTTGCTTTCGGACTACCTTGTAATGTAGATCATCTTAGACACCAACGTTGTGATCGGACATCTAGATTTTATACGACGGTTACTCAGTTCCTCACATGAAGATACTGAACTATTGATTCCCAAGGCTGTTCTGACAGAGCTGGACGCGTTCAAAACACAACATCGAGAGACTGACGTATACATCGGACGCAAGAGTATCAAGCAGGATATGTGGTGTGCGGCAAGAGATGCAACGAATTGGCTGCTCCAGGCCACTCAAGCACACGAGCGAGTGAAATTACAGAATATGGGCGATGAACCTAAGGAACTCAGAAAAGTTGCGTAATTTCCAAATGTCTTCTATCTACTTGAGCACTTGTGTAATTTCCCAACAGTTCCAAGTTTAGCCTCATAACGGTTGGTCCGCATTCCATATTGTAGAGCAAAGATGGTGACGCTCGAATCCTTGCTTATGCTATCAAAGTGGCCCATCGTGCTCTAGCTCAGGCCAAGAGAGTCGCCTTATTTTCCAATGACAATATCTTGCGCTTGAACGCCAAGTCTGAAGGGATCCTGGCTTATTCCATCAACGATGTCGGGGATGATCCCAATCGACTTCTTTCCGCGATGACGGCACCTCGTGTCAAGAAATTTGACCCGATCACGACTCCGGAACTGGTAGCACACATTGAAAAAGGTGCGCCTGGAGCCAATGTCGGTAATTCCCAGGTATAGTCTCGCAGTCATTTATAATCTAAACAAAAATCCACTTTGGGACCAAAACTTTGTCTGACGCGCGACGCTCCCTACCACCATCTTAATAAAATAAGGATAACGAGTCATCGCATCAACTCGCCCCACCTAAACAGTCAGGATCTGGCATCTCTCAGTCTGTCGTCACGGAACCACTACCCAATTCCAATTCGGAGCCTCTGGGCAACCAGATCGCCATTGACGAAGAGGTTATTATTGTGATGCCTCATGTTAACTCTGGCCAGTGAGTTGTTCAACTTGTATCTGCTCGCGCTTGCTGGACAGTCCAATGTCTTACAATAATTTTAGTACCTATGTACACAACACCGAGGGTGCGCTTAGTGCCAATCAACTCGGAAAACGCAAGGAAAATAACGCACCCGATCCAGTTTCACCTCGAACCTCTGATCCGACCGACACAACTCTGATATCGGAAGATTTTGACTTTCTGGATGGCCGCCCAATTGAAAGTCCTAACGATATGAGCAGCTTGTCAGAAAGCGAGAACTGTTCACTCAATTGGCTCACTCGGGAGATCCCAAGTGAAGAACTCGATGCATTCATTGGACAGCCCGCAGCTGCACCATCTCCTAGCTTTGTTCCTGACATCCATAGCGCTAAACAAGCTCTTAACAACATACTCGAGAACCTCAGCCAGTTCTTCAAGAAGCATCCATATCGAGATCCTGCAGAGCAGCATGCCCGGGCTGAGTTGACAAGATCAGTGATTGAACAAGGCCGTTTGGTGATGTCGGCTATCACTCCTCCCACAAAAGAATCTGTTGTCCAGAACACCTCAAGTTGAGCGGGAACATTACCACCAGCTTCAACTTCGACATAAGGTCAACCCACGACATTCGACATCACAACCAAGCGGCTGGCCGCCATATGCAGTTCTCCAAACAAGCTCAACAAAGCCTCCAAGCCAAGCTTGAGATCCACGAGTTTGACAACACGACTACTTACCTTTTAGTCTCAATTGTACGCGAACCTGGGGCCGTAATCTTGGAAGGATGATCAAGTCATAAACCCAAGGGTACAAATTCCACTAAACTTGTGACTTTATCCTTGTCGTCATAATCAAAGAGCATGAGCTTTCGATTCAAATGCCATAAGAAGGCTCTTGGTTAGTATGTAATTGCAAACATATCTTTCAGTGCATTGTAGGCCGCAATTTGCATGTATTAGAGGTACAGCTGTGCTCAGTTTCAGTTCTGCAACTAAGACTGGCCTTGTGACGTATGTTCATCAGCCATGCCTCTTCAGTCTGGAAATTCCACCTAAGTAACAATGAGCATAAAAATGAATAATGAACTCTCCAGCTTCAATCCAGGTGACATACTTCAGATTGGAGGTAAACCTATGTTGGGCAGTCAAATGAAAATAATTTTCTGATAAAGATACTTTGCCAATATCAACTAGCATCCAGATTATTTTGTTCAACGCCTTGGAATTTAAGAATCTGGGGTTGTTGATACGGTGGATTGAATGGCTATGTGTTTTGGCAGGTCTGGCAGTGTTACGACATGTTATGTGCCGCTAAGTCTATGTATGTGAATTTATGACAAGGGGCTCTCCTCATCCATCGAGCCTCAAATTTTCTATATCTGAGTTCTCTCATTTCTATTTCCACTGCTTTTGAAATTTGCTTCTACGCATCAACCTCTCTCAGCTTTGGCATATTCTTGCCTTCGATCACGGCCAACTCATCATCTTTCGTTCACCCGCTTCTATTCAACCTTTGATCGTCGGGCAAGTCCATTGACATCACGGTTGAAACGATAACCGCTGTTCCAGGACCACAGTCACTTCAACTTCGTATTTTCCAATCCAAACTCGACACTATTCAAGACTTATAGCTCGCCTTTTTGTTCGGGTACCTCAACCGCTTAACATATCCACTCGCCGCAAAAGTATTTTGCGTTCTGAGCGGCAAAATTCGCTCGGACCTTGAATGACCTGCAGCTGTCAACGTCTTGAGGGTTCTAAAAGACTACAGGCGCATTTCACAGCCTTCTATAACTGTTAAGCAGAACGTTCTGGATCAAGGCAGAACCTCAAGGATCTCTTGAACTTGAATATCAGATTCATTTGATCGTCTGCATCGTTCGCTTCGGACTTGATTGTGATCTTTAACTCTTCTTACTACTTTGGGCATCTTACGACTTGTGTGATCATCGATCAATGCCTCCCAAACGAATGGTCGATCGCTCTGCCGAGCATGGCACAAAAAGGGCTAGGCAGCGTATGAACACCAATCCGCTCAGTGCTACCCATGCAGCTAATCCAATCGGCCATGGTAGTGGCTCTTCCACTCACGATTCCTTGAATTATGGACCACAACGAGATGAAGGTCCACATTGGCAAACGCAAGCTGGGTCCTCGAATCAGAATCCGCATGTTTCTGGGACTAACATCCCAAGGAATTTGACCCAAGGTGAATTCGTGATTGCATGATCATTGATCTGATAGAGAACTGCAAAGGTCATCAGTCAATTTGTCCAATTAAAATTAATCAACATCCTTTGGTATTCGGAATGTTTTCAGCCCACTCAAACCATCAACCTGTTCAAGGCTCAAGTTCGAGCAATTCCCATTCATGGAGAGGTGACTCTAATGCACTTTCGTCTTGGGAGAATCCGAGAGTTGCCTATCCAGCACCGATGAGCACCTCGGGAGGGATTCGAAACAACCAGATTCCACGTGACCATCAAGTCTTGATGAAGGAGACATCTCATGACATGCATGAAGATGTAGCTTCAGCCGCTTTCGACAGACTATTGGCTTCCGAATATGGTCCCTCGCGAGGTCATGTCCGAAACTATGTGGATGACGATCACGCTGTGGCTATGCAGATGCACTTGCAGGAAGAAATTGAGTTCAAGAGGGAAGCGATTGCAGTGAGTAGGAGCAGCTCACTTGGTAGCAGTTTGATGTTATCTGATGTCGTGTCATGTCACAGCGAGATGCAGCATATGCAGCTCAGCTTCACGCCGAGTACAATGCCAATCGCCAAAACTTCGATCAGTATTCCAGTCTCACCACCTCACGCCTACCCCCTTCACAGATAGATTCGGTATATCCAGACTCGAATAGTGACGAACATTATGCGGATCAGGGTGTCAATCAATCATCTTCACAAGCCCCTCACGGTCGAGCACATCCAGAACCTGCTCGGTTCAGGGACCGAAAGAAACAGAGGGCCAATAGAAAACTGAAGAAGAGACACTTGGTCGAACACCTCCCTCTGGCGAGTTTCCCCCATAAGAAAATCTCATCGCCCGATCTTGCAATCGTTGCAGAGCCAGGTAACCCTCAGCCTGGTCCAAGCTTTGAGCGAGGCCATGCGTCGAACATCCAGAGCGATGTCAAAGACGGACATGAAGCCCAGATCCAGCTGATCCTTGATGACGATACATCTCCAAACCCTCGCTTTCAGGTAACTTTGAATGTTTCTGCTATCCACCAGCTTAGGATATGTAAGCCGTTCAATGATCAATATCTGACAAAGATGAATCCTATCATCATCGTAGATAATCCTAGATACCAATATTTTGATTGGATATCTCGACTTTCTCCGCCGTTTGCTAAGCTTATCGAAAACGGCCACTCAACTTTTGGTTCCTAAAGCAGTCCTGTGTGAACTCGATGCACTTAAAAGTCGACATCACGACATTGATATCTATGTTGGGGATACCGTGGTGAAACGAGACATGGCCTTTGTAGCCAGAGATGCCACAAATTGGCTATTGCTAGCAACACGTGAGATCGATCAAGTAATTGTTCAGCGCCTAGACGAGGAGAGTTTGGAATTAAGCGAGGTGATCATTTGTCTCTTTACAAGCTATCGCATAATGCTTTCCTCGCGAACGTAACTCACCCATCAATCTGGGACACCTCTCTTCCAATCTCACAGAGCCGAAATGGCGATGCCCGGATTCTGGCGTATGCCTTGAAGGTAACCCAACATGCCGTAGAGAATGGGATCAAGATTGCATTATTTTCGAATGACAATATCTTGCGATTAAACGCTCAATGTGAAGGCATCTTTGCGCTTTCGATTAAAGATGTTCGAGACGACCCTGCTCAGCTTCTTGCAATCTTGTCAGCACGTACCATGTCCCTGAGACCCACCAATAAGATTAAGCAAGCTGAACCAACTGAAAAAATCGAACCTGTCATACCTGTGTCGAAGATCCACACAGACGTGAAGCCGCTCAAAGAGTCTCACAATGAACTAGTCAAAGAGCCGGCCCAAGAATCGTCCAAAGAAGCAGTTCAAGAACCCGCCCAAGAACCGTCCAAAGAGCCCGCTAAGGAACCCGTTAAGGCCCCAGTCATAGATCTCATACAGTCACAGCCCACTCCGGAGCCAACTCAAAAGCCTACCCCTGCAATCGCCCCATCCATCAAATCGATTCCGAAGAACTCAATTGACTTGGAGCCATCCAAAGATTCACAACAGGCAGCGACCACTTCAAAGCCTACCTCTGGAATCGAATCAGCCATCAAATCATTCCCAAAGAACCCAACACACTCAGAGCCGTCCAGAGAAGCTAGGCGTGCGGTGACAACGTCGAAACCTGCCGCTACGGTCACCCCAGCTATCGAATCATTTACGTCTGTATCTTATTGGCCTCCAGGACGACGGATTGCACGTTCAAATGGAAAGATTACGCCTGAGCAGTCAATTATTGGGCCTGATAGAGAGTTCCGAGAATATAGTGGATTGTTGAATGTACAAGGCAAATGTCAAGGGTGTAAGTTTCGAGGAGGTAAGACACTCAAGGTGCGTATCTCTCTATGGAGTGATCATGAAGCTTTCTTGGTTCTCATGGACGGTTTGGTTGATTTCACGTGAATCTTTTGCGCTACTACAGACACCACCAGCTTTGGCTCATCATGCGTGTGAGACTTGTTTAGAGGTGATTTGTAGAGGATGTTGGAAGGTGACTGGTTGCACTTGGGACTGTATGGCCCCTTTCAATGGTGAAGCATGTGGTACCACTAAATGCTGTGATCATGGAAGAGCCGTAATGATGTACGAGGTAAAGTAGATAATAACTGATTGATTAAGCTTCATCCGAGCGTGATACTTAACGAGAATGATGTGTGATCTTACTGTTTAGATTCTCTGTCAACTCGATAGTTGTTTCATCTCCAATAACTTTCGACTTTCACTCAAGACGAATCCATCTTCTAGACCAGTAGTGTATCAAGGAGACGAAGCCTTGCACCGATTTCTTGTAGCTATCAAGAACCTTTTACCATCATTTGATGAAGAAACTCAATCCAGATCATCTTCACATCCTTCAATCCGATCGATGTTATTAACCTCTACTCTCTTTGAGATCTTATGTCGAATCTTAACATATGATCCTTTAAACCAATGGCACCTTCGATCACAATTGTATCATCATTCATTGGATCTTATTCAAAGGATTTGTGATGGGATAGATGAAGCTAGAAACTTATTTGATCATCGATTGGTTAAGTCTTCGACGTGTGGATTAAGATTGGTTTTAGAAGAGAAAGGTGGGATTGTTTGGAACCGAACTTGGAAAGGAAAATCAACGGAAACTTTAGCGAACCAATCTAATGATCATCAATATCTTACACCTAAAACGTTACAAATCATATTGAATTCTTCGAAAGCTTTGGATGAAAGTGAATTGAATGAGATGAGAAATAAACCGATCAAGATGAGCTTGTATGATGTTTTAAAAGAGTTGTTTATCTTGGCTACTGAGAAGATGGAAGAGTATCATGTTCGATTAGGGTTATTGGTTCATAAACCGATTCATCAAGCTTCAGAAGATCATCATGAACGTCAAATGAATGGAGAAGATGAAGAAGTTGAAGTGGATTCAGATGAGATTGAAATGATGATGATGGTAGATAAGATTTTGGATTTAGCTACTAGTTTTGTTAAGATTTTTAAAACTCTTGAAAATGGAAATGGAAATCGGAATCGAAATCTTAATTTTCAAAGTTCAGAAGACCAAACTCGTGAATTGATGGATACAAGTTCAAACAACAAAGATAAACGAACAAATCATCAACTTAATTCTGGGGTGACTAAACCTGCTGTAAGTAAAGAACCAAATGTGAAGAAGATCCAAAAGAAAAAAGATTCTATCAAGTTGACTTTAGATAAGAAATCAAGATGATCAACCTTTACAGAATTCTTTTCTTTTGTATTTTCATCTTCTTTGGATCTTTTCTTTTTTTTTTCATCATCACTAGGTTAGACAATACATGGACATTTTTGAAACCAAACTGATACTGTGTTGATAGCTTTCAGTTTGTAGTCTGTTTGACTTTTTTCTTCTTCTTCTTCTGCTTCTTGATGATCAATTCACAATCAATTTGACAATGAACACATCAATTCAGAGTAGATTTAAAGGAAACTGACAACTTTCATTTGTATTATATGACGATTTTTTCATGATTTTGATAATCTACAAATCCCATTTTATTTTCACATACATACATACACATTTATGTACTTCAAAAAAGGATATAATTTACAACGACTAAAACAAAACCAAAAATAAATAAATAAATAAAAAAAAAAAGAGAAAATTTGATAAGATACAAAAGAGTCATCAAAAGAAGAATCACTTTGGATCATAGACTTCAACACCTTTTCCCCATCTACCAGCTCGTTTTCCCCATTTCCCTATCCCCCAAACATTATTAGGAGAAATAATAGGTCTTCTTTGATGTCGCGAGTCATTAGAAGCTTGTTGATCATGATCTACTGTGGTAGAGGAATCAAAGTCTGATGTTGGGATTTGATCGATGATCCGATCATTCTTCTTCCACAAGCTCTTCAACGTATCAAGCATTGGGACCCAAGCTTTTCCAGATCCACCTGGTCTAGTCAACTCATGTAATCGCGAAACAGCTCTTTGAAAAGCGTATTGTTCGTCTTGACCGGTAAAGATAGCCAAAGTGGTCTGACTCGAATTAGATCCACCTGAGAAACTCGGTAATGGATTGGAAGGACGATAAGTTGATGTATTTGGTCGATGACTAGATACCAAGTCTTGAATGAGTTCTGAAATGCTTTCGGCTTGGATCGGATCAGGGTCTTCTAGGTTTATAGAGTTTGGATCGTGGTCTGGAAAGAAAAGATTATCGATTTCGTCGGCTGCATTGATGTGTAATTTCACTTGACATTCATAACACGCATCAATAAAAGTAATAAATCTACGTGCTATTATTAAAGAAGTTGAAGTGATTAGTTTGATGAAATCAATGAGTTGACTAAAGTTTACATACCTTCATTCTTCATTAAACCGGTGAAGACTGGTACGTTTTCTACAAGAATGGTTTCAAAGGTGGATGCGATTAATAGATAATCTGCTGGTCCAAGTGGAGCTTCACATAATTCTTTGTAAGTCATCAAGACAGATTTTTGATCCAAGTTGGCTCGTTTGATTTCAATTCTACGTCCATAGATCAATAATTCGGTTTGCTCTTCTTGTGGTAAAAATTTACGAACGCGTTCTGACCAAGAATGATCAGATTGAGATCCGGTATGCCAAGAAGTAGGAAGATCTAAAGTCGATTTACTTTCATCACTTAGCTCACGACGCCAATCACGAAGTGAATCGAGTTGAACGGTAGGAGATTTATCTTGAAGTCTATTCAAGAAAGGCAAGACAGTCGATTTCTGAACTCCTTCATCATACATATGTTCAGGTACTCGATTCGAGGTACCTAAGACGATCCCACCTAATCTCCAATACCATTCAATGACTCTACTCAAGATCCCAGCACCTGCTACATCTACCATTTGGATTTCATCAAAGGCTAAGATCCAACCTTGAGTAAGAATCAAATCTTTGGCTACTTGTGCTAAAACGAAATCTGGTCCATTTAAAACTGGATCGCTTGGATCTGATCCACCAGCAAAAACACTTCTCCAACCTTCTAATAAAGCTTTGTTACGTAAACGATCTTGTCTAGGTTGAAGTGTACCGATCGGAAGATCATGTTGTGTGAAAGATTGATCTGAGGAAGTAGAAGATGGATTTAATTTGATTCGACGAGATTCGAGTCGATTGAAAACTAATGAATAGAGTGAAAGTAAGAAATGATGGTAATGTCTTCTGAGTTTCTTAGGGGTTGTTAAACTTTCGAAAAAAAGATCCATGATTAATGATTTACCAGTACCGGGTGAACCGGTCAATAAGAACCCGATCGGTACGGTTTGATCTGCTAAATAATCATCATTATCTTGTTTTAAAACTTTAATTAATTCGTTTTTACGTTGAGTTGGATTCAAAGAGGTGATGGTAGGATCAGGTTTGTATGATAAGGTTTTTGAATAAGTTGAGTTTGTAGGTGATAAATAAGCTTGATCGAATAAACTTATTAGTCTTGGATTAGGTACATAAGATTGAAGGGTTTTGTGAATCGATCTAAGCTGTTTAAATATGATGAAGTTTGAGTAATTAGTTTTGGTTGAGATTGAAGAGAGATTTGTGGTGTTGTACATACTTTATAGATTGTTCTGAGTTGGTTTGGATCGGGTCTTAGGATACCTGATGATAGTTTGTTTTGATAAAGTAAAAGTAAATCGGTTGGTTGAAGTGCATTTTGAGATTCTGATGAAAACTTGTGGGAATGAGAATGGGTTCTTGAAGTGAATCGATTGAAAGTGTTCTTTTTAATTTTGATCGAGTTCATCTTCAATCTGCTGGTTCTGGTTCTGATTCTGGTTCGATCCATCAGGCTTCCTAAATTCAAATCACTAGTGTTTATTAAGTATGACCTAAACTTAACAAATAACTCAACTCTCTCCTTAATCATGAGCCAATGAGCCAAAGCTGTTCTAAATTTTAAAAGATGAATGTTCAACTCAAACAGAGAACTGAGGATGCTACAAATCAAATCATCATAATATACCAACCAAACATCTGAACTTATCTTTAGATGATTCTTATCTATCTCTACATAGCTGATTTGTCTTGGATGTACTATTGATGAATCTTGAGATCATGTTTTGATCTTTGAGCTTGGATGATACAAGATTGAATGGATTGAATGGTGATAAGATGGAATGATGAGATGATTGATGTCAAGATGAGATCATTTACAATCCATCAATCGTTACATGTAGCCATTTACATACAATCTGATCTGTAAATTTCGTCATGTGAGTCTTACATGACGATGTATCATGTGAGTAATTTGGATTTGTTTGATGAGAACTTCAAAAATCTAACAAATTGCTTATCACTATCACCATCTCACCATCATCATCATGAACCATCATCAACAACCATCAACTTCAACTTCAACTCCACCTCCTACTTCTCCTTCTGCTACTTATCCTTCATTCAATCTTTATCCCAACTCAAACAAATTCAAATCTTCAATCGAGCCAAATCAAGTTTATACTTCTACTACTACTATTGCTTCGGTTGGTGGTGCTATAGTGGGTGCTATGATCAGAGGTGCTACTGCTGGAATAAGGTCAAGTGTAGGTGCTGCAAATCATGTGACTAACAGTCTGGCTTCACCTAATCTTTCTCAAAGGCCTACTTCTTCATCAAAATCAACTAACAACAAGAACGATCAAAACTTCAGCTCAACTTATCATCATCTTACCATTCCTAATCATAATCATAATGATACTCCTAATCCTAATCCTACTCCTATTCCAATCTCAACTCATTCATCTGATCGAAAAAAATGGGATGCAAAGGTTGATCAAATCATTCATCGATTTTATATCAAAACTGCTCAAATCATGGTCAATTCTAGATTAGGAATCTCTTCATCTCAAATCTCACAGTTCAATACCTTTCGATCGTCTACAAGTATGGGTAAACAACCTGCTAATAGTGAAAAACAGATGAAAAGGGATAAATGGGTGAGCCATCAGTGAATCACTCCTTGGATCTCTCTATCATGTAATGTCTCTTGCGTTGAGCTTATGCTCTACATCTTGATTATCCAATTTCCGAAAAGTTTAATTTAGAACTTGAAGACCCAGAATTTTTTAAAGATGAACTTAAAACTTGGAAAACAACCTCTAGTCTGTTATTCTCATCTTCATCCCCTCGACACCTCACTTCACATGAGCCATCTCCACTCAATCTGGCTTCAATCCCAGTCATGATCTTTGAGACTATACTTGATCTTCAAGCTTTACCTTCAAATTCAATCTTGGTCCTCGAAAATCCGCATGGTCGAGGTATTCGACTTGACCATCTCTCATCTATTACCAAAGAATCTAAATCCAATCAAGAACCTTCATTTCAAAATATTGTCTTGGAAAGATGGACAGTATCCTTATCTACACCTATTCCTCCATTACCCGGTCCTGAACTACCTACAGTCTATCGATATTGCATTGTTCATTTTCGAGCACTTTACTCTTACTCTCGGACTTTACCAGCTTGGCAACTCTTTAAACGTCTAAGGAAACCGGGTTCAAGGGAACATGATCTCTTGAAGATTGGATGTCGTCTTAGTAGTACTAGTGTCATAGATGAAGCTGAAAGATCACAACGAGGGATGGATCGAAACTCATTCATAGATGAGATTGGTATCGATCAACGCTTATCGGATCTCGATCCTCAAACACATCTGAAACACTTTCAATTTCCAAGTGTTCAAACCCCATATGGTGCACTTCATTCACACGTCGCATATCGTAATCAAGTGGAATTTTATATCAGTGATCGAGAAACGGCTCTTAGTTCTAAATTCATGGCTGAGGATTTGAATCCTAATCCTCAAGCTGATCTCATCATGGGTCTTCATCGCCTTCGATCAGGCTATTCAGTGCCTAATCCGATCAAAACTAATCAATCTACTCGAACTCATGATAAGGTATCTACTCATCAAGAACATCAGGATCCCATCTCTCCCAAACCTTCCTATGGATCTTTATCCTCAAGACACCCTTTGCATCCTCGATCCAATTCTAATGAAGTCAATGATCCTGATCGACCTGGTAGTGCAGCTAGTTCTTTAACAGCTGCCATTCGAGCAGCAGCAGAATCTTCATTTTCAACTCCTATTCCTCAACATCCACCTCCAACCCAACTTTCTCAGTTACATGGGAATGTAAGTATTGAAATCTCTCTCAATATCTTGATACTGAAGCTTCTCGAGCTCATGTTCTTTATCTCCTATCTCTCCTCTTTGCTCAGAGTTCTGCATTAACAGCTAAACTAGTAGCTAAACGACAATCCTTGCCACCTGTCCTCTCCAATGCCTTGCCTAGTCCCTCAAGTATGAACCGAGGCTATTTGGCAGGTTTAGCAGGTAGATCACAGTCTACGACAGCCATGACTGGTCATAGTCCAAGACAGACAGCTTCAGTGTTATCATCCAGTCCACTCTCTGGACCATCCTCATCGATTCGAATGTCATTAAACCGACCACTGATACCATCTTCAATGGCCATCTCTTCTTCATCTCCTCTTTCACCTGCAGGACTTTATTCGGGATCTCAAGTTAGTTTAGGTACGAGTGGAAGTGGTACAGGTGTTGCGATTGGACCTAGACCGATGCCTAGCCAACCGCTTTCTCGAAGGTATTCATCATCACGACATTCAAGAAGTTATGGACAAGGAAGTTCAGGAGGCACATTAGATTCATCATTAAGTAGAAGAGCTTTGTTGAATTCAGAACAATCGATTCATTCATATTTATCATCAGGATCAAGACATAAAGAAAGAATTGGAAATCCGATTTCTAGTCCTCCTATAGATGATACAGGAGAGATTAATAGATTTTTAGAGTTTTTGGATTCGAAACCGAATTTGAAAAGAAACTTGAATGATCAAGTTGGTAATCATAATACTATCCTTTCTAAAAGTCAAGCAGAAGTGACGATGAATAGATTAGCTGGATCGGTTTATGGTACCACCACTCTTGATCCAATCAATTCGAATCCGAATCCGAATCCTTCTAATCTGGTTCATCATCGTAAACGATCAAGTCTTAATAGCTTGTCTAATAAACCTAGTTCGGTTCTACATGGTTTATTAGAAGAAGATGAACATCAACAACAACAACAACAACATGATCAAGTCTTTTTACATTCGAATGTGAATGTGAATGTGAATGTTAATCATCGGTCTTCACCACTTTCGGTTTCTCCTGGATCTTTTATGAATCGGTTCTCAATTACAGGGTCTAGAACTGGTACTGGTACTGGAAGCATTCGAGATGGGGATAGGGATTCGAGTAGGGAGGATTTGAATTTGAATTTGGAGGATGATGATGGTGATGGTGAGATGGTTGGGAAATTAGAATTAAGTTATCCTACCACTCATCGGTAATCATCATTCTCATGAGTTTTTTTTTGATGAGTTTTTTTTGTGTGTTGGTTTGGTTTGGTATTGATCTTGAAAGGTTAAATATGTATAAGATGAAGTCTAAGGAAATGTTTTGATGCTCAACTGAAGAAAAGGTTCAAGTTCTTTTATACAGTTTAAGTTTTTGTATTATTTTGAAGTGAAGTGTTTGGTTAAGTTTGTATATCTTTCATCTATGGTTTTTTTGTCTTGTATTTTTTAGTTTGTAGTTGGTGTTATGAAATGAAATGAGAATGGAAAGAAAGATTAAGGAAAGAGTGAGAAGTTGAGTTAAAGGAATGGAAGGAAAGGAGAATTTAATTACAAAATTGAACTTGGAATGAAGAGATGGTTTTTTGAGAATGCAGATTTGATTCAATTGAAAATGCAGTTGTGGACAGAAAAAAAGGAAAAATTTCAAATTTATATCCGATATCCGACTCGGATCGCAAATTACAAAATACTCGAATTGGGTTTTTAAGAGAAGATACTCGGCTTCTGGTTGTATGCATTCAAATCTTGCAAAAGAATTGAATTCCACTTTCAACCAAAATCCGAAACCAAAAAGCAAAACCGAAAACCAAATGAGCAACTCAGAACCAATTGAAGAATCGAAACAAATTAATTCAGATGTACCTTATTGGTCTAAAAGATCTAATATTGCACCTATCAAATCCGAGTTGAGTATCATAACATTTTCAAAACTTTTTCTTAAATATATGAATGAATGAATGATTAGAAACTGACGGTCTTGAACCTGTATTTAAATAGGTATGTGATTTGGAGTAAGTTTGAGAAGGATAGTGTGAGGGAGGGTGATGAAGGTGATGATGGTAGAAGAGATGATGAATTAGAAGCAGAAGGAGGGAATAGAAAAAAACGGAAATCTAATTTGATCGACAATGAAAATGAAACGAATGAACAGGAAAATTCAAAGAAGAATGAAACCGAAAACGAAAACGAAAATGAAAAATCAGATGAAGTTGAAAGTACAGAAATTCAAGAAGAAAAGAAAATCAAATTAACTAAAAGTCAAAAGAAACAAAGAGCCATTGAAGCAAGAAAACAATCAAAAGGAAAAGGAGGAATGAATAAAGCTAGAAGTTTTTTAAAGACTCAGGAAATGATTTCGGTTCAGTTGTGTTCTTTTGTTTCGGTTGAAAAAGAATGTACTAGAGGAATTCAAGAAAATCAAAACCTTCCACAAGAACAACAAGAACAAAAACAAGAACAAAAACAAGATCCAGTACAACAAGGACAACCACAAGCACAACAAGCACAACCAGCAGAAAAACAACAAGGACAGCCCAAATGTAAATTTAATCATGATATCAAATCATATATGCAAGAAAAATCAAATGATATTAAATCATTCATTGGACAAGATCTCACCAAATTCAGCGACGAAGAAATCCAACAAGTTTTATCAAACCAAGAAACAAACGTATTAAACTCTCCAAACTGGATAACCAAATGTCCATTATTCGAAAGCTTCGGTACTTGTTCATTTGGTTATAGATGTAAATTTTTATCATCACATTTAGAGAATGTTAGTCCAGGAAGCGGATACCAAGGAACAAACCATAAGTTATTAATCGATTCAAGTAAATTTCATCAACGTGAAAAGTTTGATGAATTGAATGGATTACCATTTGAGATGATACGAAAGATACGTAAAAAACTTTATGATTTACCATTGACTAAATCGTATTTAGATTCGATTGGAGAATTGATGGATCAAAGACAGTTTGATGAAAAAGGTAGATTGATGGCATCTAAACCTAATCTGAAATCAAATCAAAAACCTACTATCACTTCAATTAATCAAACTGAAAAGAATCAAAAAGTTATTGACGAAAGTGAAGTGAATGAAACTAAAGAAATCAAACCGGTTCAACTTCCAACAGAATCGTACCAAGACGCTCAAAAAGATCTTCCAGTTGATCTGACCCCTATCCGATCCAACGAAAAGACCCGACTAAACTGGCGAGAAAAGTTATACCTAGCACCTTTAACGACCGTAGGAAACTTACCGTTCCGAAGATTATGTAGTACTTTAGGATGTGAAATCACGTGTGGAGAGATGGCCTTATGTCAAGATTTGATTGGAGCTAATACCAATGAATGGAGTTTGGTCAAACGACATCCTAGTGAAAAGATCTTTGGAGTTCAAGTCGCTGGATCTAGACCTCAACTCTTGGTACCGGCTGCTGAGATGATTGGGAATGAATTGAAGGTAGATTTTGTTGATGTCAATTGTGGTTGTCCAATTGATTTAGTATTCAAAAAGGTTAGTTTTTTTTCCATTAATCGGATTTCACAAGTTTTCAAAACAAAAAACGAAAAAAGAGAAAAAAAAATGATCTTTTGAATTCAACTTTTTCTTAAATTTTATTTCATTTACTCCTTTTTTCGATACTTACTTTATATACATATAGGGATCAGGTGCCGCTTTATTAGAACATACACAAAGACTTGGAAAAAGTTTAATCGGAATGTCAAAGGTTTTAAAAGAGATTCCATTAACGATTAAACTAAGAACAGGCATTACAGAAGGTAAGAATCTAGCACATAAGATCATACCTCAATTACAACATTGGGGAGTTGGTGCTACAACAGTTGAGTTGAGATTATATATGTTTGAGTATGATTTAGGAGATTTAGACGGACTAAAGTTGGGTTTGGTTTTTTTAGCTTCATGGTAGGTCTAGACAACAAAGGTATTCTAAAAGAGCAGATTGGAATTATATTTCAGAATGTGTGAAGACTTTACATCGAACGTTTGAAGAAGAACCAGGTAATGAAAGTTTTAGATTTTCATTGAATTTGTTTGTTGTATATCGAAATTGATATTTTGTTTGGTTGGTTAGATTTACCACAAATTCCGATCTTCGGTAATGGTGATTGTTATGATTATAGAGAATATTATGAAAATATGGAAATGAGTGGAGTAGATGGAATCATGATTGCTCGTGGTGCATTAACAAAGGTACCGAAACCCCCCCCCCCCCGCCGCCCAAAAAAATAACTCTTCTTCCTCAAATAAAAATGATCAAATTTGATTTTGATTTGGGATTTTTTTATTTTTTTTAGCCTTGGATCTTTACTGAAATTAAAGAAAGAAGAGATTGGGATATTAGTAGTAGAGAAAGATTAGATCAAATTGGAAAACTTGCTTCATTTGGATTAGGTAAATTATATATCTTGATTCAAACCATTAACAAAGCCTAAGAATTGATGATTTGATGGATTTTTTTATTAGAACATTGGGGAAGTGATACACAAGTTAAATCGATTTTGTTTTCTCGTTTCAATCATTTCAAGTTTCACTCAAAACTGATTAGAATTAATTCTTTGATGTGATGGTCTTTAATAGGGAGTCAATACCACTAGAAGGTTTCTTTGTGAATCATTAGGGTTTCAATACAGATACGTACCTGTCGGTTTACTAGAAAGATTACCAGCCAGGATTAACGATCGACCTTACCCATTCAAAGGACGAGACGAACTAGAAGTAAGTCACCATCCCATTCTTTTTCTTCACCATCACTTCATTCTAATGGTTTTTGATCTTTTTTTCTTTAAAGACTTTGTTGGCAAGTGGATCTTCTAAAGATTGGGTTAAGATCTCTGAATTGTTTTTAGGACCTACACCTATTGATTGGAACTTTATTCCTAAACATAAAAGTAATGCATATGAAGAAGGAAATGGATAAAGAAGATTGAAAACTAACTTCATGATCAATCAAAATCAGTGGAATTTTTTTTAAAATGTTTGAATAGATTTGTGGGTTTGTTTTGGTGAAGAGATTGGAGGTTTTGCAATTCAGATTGAGTTTCATGTTTTTATGGAGAGCGACTTTATCTTTGATCGTCTTTATTTTGTGAGGCCACAAGTATATGGAAAGGGTGCTGAATTGTTCAAGATTGATATTCAAGTGGAGCTCAAGATGTTTTGAATTAAGAAGAGTAGTGTAAAGTCAAATTTGATTACAAGAGTGAAATGTAAGATGATTGAAAGTGATCCACTCGTTTGGTTTTACACATGATCCTTTGACTTGTGTGTGCTTCCTTTAACTCTCCTTGCAATCTTACGTCAATTCTAAATTCCTTTAGATCATCATGAAGATTTTCAATGTCAACACAGACAAATGATGTCATTAATCCTCAGTTTTATGATATCGTTCTTATTTTTTTTTATTCCGGTGTAATCTTTTTGAACATGAATCAATGAAACAAATAAGATTGATGTAATAACAATAAGAGATAGATGAAAGAGAGAGAGAGAGAGAAAGCAAAGTTACAATCGTATATAAAGAATCTATCAAAAAAAAGATCGAAACCGAAACCAAATGACTGAAGATCAATCTTGAACAATATGATTGTGAAGAAATAGAAATAGAATCCAAGAATTTAAAAGAAATCGAATTTCAGAATCCAATTGATCATCTAAAGGTCATCAGTAAGAGTAAAAAAGTACAACTTCCAGCCACTAGAGCCAAAATCAAAGTATCTCTTCTTCTACGTGACTGAATCATTCCTACTATCGAATTCATACCAGGAATCGAAGCTATTCAAAAGAAACCCCATCGAGTCAACCAAATCTGATAGATTAGTTTAATAAAGAAAAGAGGTAAGAGATCCGAGACTTACACATCACTCGATTCATCCGATGATTACTACCAAAGATAGAATTTCTCTGAACGGAGAATTCTTGACGAGTAGCAAAAGCTTGATCTAGAATCTCATCAGCTAACCGATGACTAGAATGAATCCTATCACGATCAGCCAAATGATGAGCATCATCTGTCAAGTTTTGTTGTGATTTAAAAGAAGAGATTTCATGTCGAACAGAAGAAAGTAATGAAGCTCGTTGTTCTGATGATCTTAATGAAGATTGAGTTCGTTTGAAATCTTTTTCATAGGTTTCTAAGATTTCTTTGTGTCGGTTGGTGGTGTGTAACATTGAGTTGGTTGGATTGGTTGGGTTGGTTTCTAATAATCTAAAGATTTGATCAACTAATAATGATAGCTATAATCAATTCGCAAATCCAAACTCGATTAGTTTCTTTTTTTTTTCAATTTTTGGTTTCGAGATGATAAGAGAAAGTAGATACCTGTTTTAGATTATCTTCAATTTGTGATTCGATTTCTCTTGATTGACTTAGAGTTGAATTGTTTAAAGTTCCATTTGAACTATAAGTGGTTGAAACTGAAGTACATAGTTTGGCATAAGTGGTGATTTGTGATTCTAACGTGTTTTCTAATGTCCTAACTGACTAGTGAGATTTAGATTAGTTTTCTTGCTTTTTTTCATTGGATTTGATGAGTGGGTTTAGATTTGATGAATTTGATTGAACTTACTCTGACGACGAAGTGTTTCCCAAGCTATATTGTTGAATGGATTGGTTAGTTTGATTAGTTTAATGCGTTTATTGAGAATGAGATTCACTGACACATTATTATTATTTGAATGAGTCTTTTTGTTTTGGTGTTGGTTTGATTGAGGGTGGTAGTGGTAGTGGTAGTGGTAGTGGTTAGTTGGTTGGTTGGTTGGTTGTTCAAATCAGATGACGATCATCATCAAATGTTGTCGAGTGAGATGGGATACGTTGAACTACAGTTTCAATTAATCTGTTGGATTTAATCTGTTTTAGTGAAATTCGATTTTGGATAATCTCGACTGGCTCATCTTGTCGTTCGCTTTCTCATTACCATCCACATTACCATCGACATTACCATATCACTTTACTTATTCACGATGACCATTTCATTTTCATCAGATTTATCAAAACCGATCATCATCAAAAGAATTGATACCTTAGCTCAGAAATTAGAACGTCGGTAAGTTCATTCTCGACCGATCTCAATCAATCCATCATCTTAAAACTGATTTAAGAATTGGTTTAAAAACAGACAAGTGATTGGATCTTTACCCACTGCATTAGAAACGATTAAATTATTACGTGAAGTTATTGCTGGTGCTAAATTTAATTCGTTTGAAGAGTTATGTACTCATCTTACTGAGATTGGAAACTTATTAACTACTAAAGCTCCAAGAGGTTCATACTTTATTCAAATCCAATCTTGATCTTCATCCTAAAAACTCGTTATCTTTTTTTTCCAATTCTAGAATTCGTGATTGGAAACATTGTTAAAAGAGTGGTACTCCTTTTACGTGAAGAGTTAAGTCTTTGTAGGTCTCTCTTATATACAATCTTAATCATTCAATTCTAATCTAATCTTTACTTTGAACAGGTATGCAAGTGCATTAGCCACTCATCTCATCACAGCCACTTCGACTCCTGCGATTGAAAAAGATGAAATCAAATCAAGTAGTTCGACTTACAATTTCACCACCCCACCTTCTTCAAATTCGATTCCCATCAGTTCATCTACCACTGATAATCTATTCAGATTATTAGGTCAAAAACTTCTTACACCGGCTTCTCATGATCATCAATTAGATCATCATCATGATGGTGGTCCTGGAAAGGTGGAAAGAAACTTTAGTAAGAAAGCAGCTAGTTTGAAACCTATCTTTATTGAAGCGGTTCAAGAATTACATGATGAATTAGAACTTACGCGTGAGAATGTGGCGAATCAAGCTGCTGAACATATTCATTCTGGGTCAGTTTCTCTTCTTGGATTTCTCATCACTAAGCTATATCGCCTTTTGACTTATCGTGTTCTGATTCGATTTGATTCACAGTGAGGTGATCATGACCATGGACCATTCACGTACCGTTCAGAGCTTCTTACAAGCTGCTGCCAAGAACCGACGTACATTCAACGTCATCGTAGCCGAAACAGCTCCTAATTTCTCAGGTCGAACATTAGCAGCCGAATTAGCCGGTTCTACACCACCTGTCGAGACTCTTATCATCTCAGATGCATCAAGCTTTGCATTAATGTCAAGATGTACAAAACTGATTATAGGATGTCATGCGATCTTTGCAGATGGATCGGTCTTAGCTAAATCAGGTGCTTTGGGATTAGCCTTAGCAGCTAGAGCTCATTTGGTTCCAGTAGTCATTGTGAGTGGGATGTATAAATTCTCACCTGAATATGTTAGAGCAGGAGAAGAATGGTCGATTTGTGATCAACAAAGTCCAGAAGAAGTTTTGATGTATAATCCAACTGAACATGATCATCATCATCATCATGAGATCCAAAGTCAACTTAAACAAGATCAATTTGATGAATCTAAAGTGATGGGTGAAGTAGAAGTTTTGAATCCTTATTATGATCGTATACCTGGTGAACTCGTTAGTTTGTTTATTACCAATCTGTAAGTGTTTTTTTCGTATTTAATATTATCAACCTCGGGCTTCACTTACCTAAACCTTATCGTCTTTTGGTATCTTTAGGGGAGGACATCCGTCTTCACTTGTATATCGGTTATTAAAAGACTTGTATGGAACCAGTTGATTATAATCATATTCCCAGTTTCATTGTCAAGACCAGTGCGATACTATACAAAGTTAATCTATCATTGGTCTAATCATCTTAAAGTTAAATTACGTTGTAGTACCCATATCATTAAGTTTAAAAATTAAAATTAAAAATTAAATCAGTCTAAAGTGAATTAAGAGCCAATGGTGTAAATGAAGGCTCTGGGCATTTGTATGGTCTTGGTCAGTTTTGTAAAATCAATCATTAAGGAAGTATGCTTTTTGAGACTGGTGGTCTTATGATTTTGGAAAGTAGTAATCAACTTGCTTCTTCAGTGGTTTTCATCTAGTGGTATTTCAAGTTGAACCTAATGGGGTAAGAAAGCCAGGTGACCTTTGTGACTGTCTATAGAGAGGAGTTGGCAAATTTAGAGGTTTTCAGGATTGAAACCTGGTTTTCTTACCCAGTTGGAAACAAGAAGTCTTGATATGCTTTGATAGTTGATGAGCAAAGAGAAATGTTTTCTTCAAAATCAAAAAAATGTCATTATAGAAATATAAAATCAATCTAAAGAAAACACAATTTAAAACTCACTTTGTTTGATCTGATAAGTAAGACTTTTATGATGTGTGTACATGCACATGACCAAGGCAATGGAAGATGTGGAATCTTGGTGAAGGATTATTTCCAGAATTGTTGGAAAAGGTTAGATAAAAGAACTTTCAAAAAATGGAACACTGACAAAGGTTTTAGTCATTCTCCTTGGCTCAATGAACTAACCATCAAAAAACAAAAATCTTTGTGGAAAAAATCATCTTCCTAGTAGAAATTATGATTTTTAGATATGGTGTATGATACTTTTCCTTATCTTTGTCTGAGTATAAAGGAATGACAAGCTTTGAGAGTTCATCAAAAGTAAAAGGTGTTTTTAGTGGGTATATACTGTGGGATTCAGTCTGAACCAGATCACAACAATGTAAGTTTTAAAATGGGTGAATAATACTCACCTGATAAGGATCGAGTCTTTGTTGAAAACAATCCTCAAATGAAAAAGCTGCACTTGATTCCACATTCATCTGACCTCCCTCACAAGAACTTTTGCGTAGTTTCTCATTTTTCTATATCGCCCATCAATAAATCAAGGTTCTCACTGTGATATAAGTCCTGGGCAGGTTTTCCAAGAAGTGAAAATTATAATCAGCAAAACATCTGCCTATATACTTTTTCCTAACACTAGTTTTTATACCATCTTGATAACACAATCCATGCAAAATTGAGAAAAAAACAAATGTGTAAAATAGGATCTATGTAGGTTCATGATCATCAAGTCAAATTCAAATACTTTCTTAAATGAACATTCTCTGAACTCTATAAAGATCTTCTTTGAGATTAAATCTGATAAGTCAACATAGATGAGGATTAATTCAAGTTCAGAAAACGTGAAAAGATGAAAAGCAAAAACAAAAGAAAACTTGGAATTCCTTTTGAATCCTTTTGATGATTGTTTTATATTACAAGATTGATTTAGATTTTTAATGAAGTTTTTTGATTCATGAAGACCTTTTTGGAGAATGATCATCATATTTCTATTAAACAAATAATCATCTTTATCTTCTTCTTGACTCACTTTGTGGTTTTGTTTATCTCTTGTTGTTATCTAGTTTTTGCCTTTCTTGACTGTAAACCTTTATTTTTTTTCATTACTGTTATCTCCAAGTCCACCAACTGGAGGAAAAGAACAAAATGCATCTAGAATTCCCAAGTCGATCAAACGAAAAAAACCCAATCATTCAATTAATGTTTCGATGAAATTTTTCCAAGAAAACCGATTGACTTACCTTGAATTTCAGTAACAGACCAAGTACCTTCTTCACGTGCAAAGATTGAATAAGTATGACTTTCGATTCCAGTCACAGTTCTTTTTTCCAAAACCCTTGTATCATCTGTTCTATCTTCAGGTAATGATCTTGTATAAGTAAATGAAAAAGGTGGGGTTCCTTCAAAACTAAAAACAATTTCAGACTGATTGAATCAAACAAAAAAAAACTCATGAATCAGTTAATCATTCTTCTCTCAAATCAAAACGTTTCTAAAAGTATTGCAATTTTTTTTCTTTGCACTTACTTGATCTCCTTCTCTAATATCTTCAATAAAATTCCTACCAGCACTAATCTTAACACTAGGAATAGGTTTAATTAATTTCTCTAAATTAACATTCACAAGACAATGATCAAGTTTATGAGCAATAGCCAAGATCTTAAATAATCCAGGTTCTTTTGCTAATCTAGAAAACTTAGGTTCATTTTTAGAGTCTATTATAATAGATGATGGTTTAGATTGGAATTCATATTTGATCAACCAAGGTGGTGATCCTTTTAAAATATATTCTAATCTTTCTCCTACACAGATATATGGTTTTTTACTAACTGATTCGATCGAGGCTGTTTCTGCTACTTCTACTATGGCAGATTTCTTGGGAGATTCTTCTGTCCATTTGCTTTTACATCCGTTGGCGTCTTTGACTGATTTCACGTCAATTGAATGAGGTGCAGCAGATCGAAAGGCGTATGGTAAAGAAAGCACAGCAGAAGCTGTGGTGAAATTCAATTCGAATCGTTCCATTGCCATACTGACTTCGTTAGTCACTTGTATATCAACTTGATAAGGTGCCTTTCCTCCAATCAAATCTAATCGAACTCCTCCTTTTCCATTCTGAGTAGTTGAAAGGGTTTCGTGGACACAATATGTCGTTTGTGCCAAGGTCTTGACGGTGCCACTCGGTAGTTCAAATACCACTTGTTTGATTGAGGGGAGATCCTTCAATCCATTAGAGCTTAGCTTTGGATACGTACGATCACTTAAAGCGGTGATGGTGTAGGTATAAGAGCCAGCCTCAGAGGTGTGAAGGGGTAAGATCGCATTTGATTTCAAGAATTGCACCGTTTTCTCTTCTACACTTGATCTTTCACCTCGACCAAATGGCTGGTGTAAGACCGAATACTGTACAGAGAACGGTGGCGAACCTGGATTGAAGAGAAATAGACAGAGGTGTGTAAAATCAGAGGTTTGTTTTGTTTGCAACTCCCTTTTGAAATTCTGATTTTGTGCGTACCTGCTAGACTCAATTCTAGACTATCATCGACCATTTCACATACAGATTTTTTGATGACAGCACCTGATCCTTGCTGGTTCGATATTGTTAAACTGGGACGAGGTAACCATTCTACCTTGAAACGTCCACTCTCAACTGTACCAGGACAATGTTGATCATGTATCGCCAAGAGTTGATATTCACCTGCTTGAGTGACCTCAAGGTGAGCGTTCGGACTGTAAAGCGTTTTCTCTTCACTCATCGAAGTTCTTCCATCGAGTGAATATTCGATTTTCCATGGCTATCCGAATTAATTCACGTTAGTCAATGATCTGAAGTTAGTGCTGAGTAATATGACAGAGTGAAACAAACACGCACCCCATTACCAGTCAAACGCATTGGTATTCTAAATGGTTCACCCTCTCGACCAACAAGTTTGTATTGTTGATCAGCACTATAGAATTTGACCGTAGGTTTTGTACGATGAACTTCGATATTGAGATCGGGTACAGTCAAGTTTCGTAGACATCCATTTCCGTCGGTGATACTGACTAAAGAGAGAGTAAAGCTACCACCTTTGGTGATATATTGTGATGGAATATCAACATCCAACACTGCTCGGGCTGAATTGATGTCTTTGACTATATGTGCTTTCTCTCCCAAGATTTGATAGACAATCGTATATGGTGGTGCGCCCTGATTGAAAGAAATCACGACATCAGTATCATAATATTGTTTGACAGAAATTTATATAAAAGATTCTAACCTTTAATTCGATTTCAGCCTCTACCGTCTCACCATCACAACTCCAAATATTTTCATCCTTTCCACCTCTAGTAAACTTAGCTTGAGCCAAAGGATGTACAATCTGTTTAATCGATTTATCCGCAATCTTAATCCCATCATAATATTGATCATCTAATTGTACAAACTTATATTCAAAATCACCCGGTGAATCAGGTTGAATTAAAATCTCATCACGACTATGTTGAATCACTTTGATTTTCTTTTGTGTTGATCTTCCGGTTTGTGAAACCAAATAATGTAATTTGAAGGGTGGTTTACCAGTCAAGAGAAAATTGGCCTTTAGACCGATTTCACCTGAACATTGATCAGTGATCGAGGTAAAGTTGAATTCGATGGTCGGAATTGGTTGTTCTACTACTATACAACTTGATGGGACTAGAATCTCTCCCGAACAAAATTTGCCATTGATACTAGTTAACTCGTATGTACCAGGTTGGGTAGCTTGGATCAACTTGATCGAATCTGAAAAGGTAATGTTCTGTTCCCATCCTTTTTTCAAGTTCGGGTCTGATATTTCTTTTGAATCGGGATCAGTGACTGGTTTGTATGAAATCCCGACAGTCCAAGGCGATCCTGCAGCGTCATCAGCTTCTTTAACATGTACTTTGAGTGGTACGCTTTTGCCTTTCAAGAGCCTTAACGGTTCATCTTCAGTATTACCGCATCCAAGGAAACTAACTTGACTTCTTGGATGTACATAAACAGTCTTGGTGTCCAATAACTCAGGCTGAGTACCAAATCGTTTTGTAGCGCGAGATTCACGGAATGAATTGAAGTCAAAGGTATGCCCACACGCGTCTCGGACTGAATCTAATTCATAAATATGCTTGCCTGTAGTGGTAAGACTTATATTGAGGGGCAGATCAATTGAACTCGATTCGGCCCAATTGTAATCCTTCCGATGTGAAACTCTTAGCTTCTCGGACAAAGTAGCGGTCTCGGTTGCAATGAGCGGAGAGACAAATTCACTCGGACTGATACCTTCCAATTTCATTGGCGTGCGCTCACCATCAATGATCCGATGATAATTTAGAGTGAGGGGCGCCAACCCATGAACCATCATCCCGAAATCTTCCGTCTCGTCTACACACTTGTGAAGCTCATCGATTGAATTTGATCCCACCCAGGATAGTAATTTAGAATGAGAAGAGGAGACTTGATCGGTGGTTGCGAAGCTAGCCCTAGGACAGTCGACTACCAAGGCTTCTGCACGTGAGATTCGTATATCCATCGTTTCTTGATCCAAGACTCGTTCAAGTCTAATGAGACCGATTTGACGAACATCAAGATGATAGAGTAATTGAGTACGTTCTAGTGTAGGTTGATCACGAGAGTTCGATTGATGATTAAGAGGTTGTTGGAGTTGATCTTCTGAAGATTTCCAATCATTCTCTTCATCTTCAATCCAATCTTCTAAACTTAATTTCGATTTCTTTTGCTTTGAAGATGATGGATGAAGTTGACTATGAGTGAGATTGAAGAGAGTTTTTTGACCAGTCGTGAAATTTGTAACTGAGTATTGTAGTAAATGAGGAATTGAATTATTGAAGATGATCGGAATCAGAGCGAAGGATGAAGCAATAGATGATGATATGCAAAAGCAATTTAAGTGAGGATTTAATTTGGCGGTAGTATGAGGTAAGACATGAATTGTATGTTTCCCGAGAATATGAGAAGAAGGGTTGATGACATCTTGTAATCGAACTTTGACTTCGAGGATAGCAGTTTGATAATCAAAGAGACCTAAGGACACATAGACAGGGTGAGTATATGATTGGTTTAGTTTAAAGTTGGTCATTCATTTCTCACTCACGTTTGATAGATTGAGGTAAAAGAGAGCTGATGATACTGAGACCAAGATGAGAGTTTCCCAAACAGATCCAATTGAATGATAAGAGTAAACCGATGATGATGATAGTTTGGAGTTTTGCTAGTTTGAGACGTGGAATGTTGAGTAGGGGAATGATGACAGCTATAAGAATAAGATCAAGTGAACTCCAATAGATCCATGAGATTTTAGGACTTGAGTTAGAACCAAACCACCAAAGTTCTATGAATTGAAATAGTTTATAAGATTGAAAGAGAGCTAGAAAGGAAGCCACATAAAGCCTTTGAGTTGGTAAATCACACCATTCGGGAGAGATAAGAGGTGGTTTTTGATTAGTCATGTTGATGGGGTTTTGTTTTTGAATGAGGAGATCAATATAATTTGAATAAACTGTCGATTATCAATGTTTTCCGCTTCTGATGATCATGGGGATCTTGAGTTATCAATGCTGATATTGAGTCGATTCGGTACTGGATGTAACATGATCAGACAAGGCTCTTGGGATGATGATGATGATAATGATTTGATGATCAGTCCTACTTTCTCTAGTGCTGAGATATGATAATGCTTTTCTTGTTTTGGTTGGTTTGTTCTTTTGTTGTTGTTGGATTGTTCTTTTGTTGATCGATTTCCAAAACGATCGAGTCCGTGATCATGGGTTTTGAACAATTACACAAGATTATGGAGTTCCAAGAGTCTACACTAACTAAACGCATAGTTTGACTTATATGCTAATAGGGAGAGAGTCGCTACCACAGGTCAATCCAATTTGGCTGAAGTTCAAAATTCGTTCTTCAACACCGACTGCCGTCGACTCAAGAAATGTAACATCAAACATCCAAGGCAGGTTAGTCCTTGATTCTCTTTAATCCAAAGCTCATCATCTTCACTTATCCGCAACAATGATGACCAAGTAAACACTTAAACATAATAGGAAGAGCCTTCATAGGTCCTTCACTCACCTTTCTTCAATTCATAAGTCTCAATCTCCTCGTTCTGTTGATTTTAATTAATCTGCAGGGTTAATCTGTTGGCTATTCATTTCTACCCTTTTCATGTTGACCTCTTCTTTAGCTGAAAGGCTTTTGTGGACGGACCTTGTTAAGTTTGGTGATTTGATTTTGGCTTTGACGATTGACTTGAGGTTGTGAGAGACTGAACTGATACTTGTGAAGGGCTGTAGATGACTTTGTTTTTATCTAGCTGAATGTTGAACACACATCCATGATTCCGAAATCTCATTTCTTTCAATCGTGAATCGTTGAACTGATCATTTTGGATTGCCTTTCATTTTGCAGTGGTTATCACGATTCGATTTTGTACTCTAGGCGCGTTCTGATCACGTTCCTTTCACCACGAATTCATCTAGATTTTCAAGCATCTTGATATTAAGACCGGGAAATGCATTGACTAAGATCCTGATAATTTTCATATGTTCTGAACCGATCTTGTACTCGAAACTTACACCCTCCACACTGGCAATTCTTCTTGCTATTTTGCTGTGGTCAAATGCAGCATGAGCTAAAGCTATCAACGCCTGTAGTAAGAACAACCAACAGCGGTTCGCGCATCCTATTGATCAATTTGTTTCTGATATTGACTTGATCGTTTTGAATCGCGGCTGGAGCCTTGCTGTCTCAATGCGTAGCTGATAATATAACTAGTATAATGCGTTCTAGAAATCCATCTTGTTGACTGGAACTTTCTAATTTCTTCATCCTCAAGTCATAAACAGTCTCAGACTACGCTCTACTATCCCTCTCGAATTCTTTGATGTCTCTTTTCGACCTTCTTTTTCCTTGATCTGTTACTTGAGAATATGTCGAGTCTGTCTACCTTTTACTCTTGGCTGTGTTGTATCTTGACAATTACGGTACACAAATATCGTTCTGGAAATTTCCAGAAGGTTTTTTCCAGAACGCCAGAACCCTTCGGGAAGCCTTCTGGTGTTCTGGAAAAAACACAAATTCAACATAAACTCTCTGCTGCAGCCTGCTGCAGCTTCCCCACATACCCCGCCTAACAAACATGGATCAAGTGATCGACGACCATACTCCCACCTCCAGCCAACCAATGAATTTAAAATTTTTAGAGCCTCTTCAAGCCGATCGAGTCCGTTTTGATTGATTTGACGTAGACGACGACCGAGTAGCACAAGCTTAACAGACTGTGCACTGGCCAAGTGGTATTCCAGCGCGGCCAGCAAAAACAGGTACAGTGGCTTCCTAGCCTCAAATCGATCATCGGCATCATGCTCATCATCTAAACGGCCTCGGATTGTAAGTTTTGCTGAACGATGATTGCTTGAAGACACCGAAGGATGAAAAGGCTTTCAGAATTCCTCTTTTTCTGGAAAGCTAAAGTTAAAAGGTCTGTTTGTGACTGATTCTTCTTGTGAATTGCCAAGTGAATAGACCGTTTCAGAAGTCGACGTCGGCTTTTTCGAACCATTGCAGGAGGAAAGGCAGAGTTAAATTGAAATGCAAGACCGAGAAGTGCTGAGAGTTGAGAAAAGTGATGTGGGAGGGTGTTTGATGTGCGTGGTATGAGGTGTGTGCTAGCGGATGTGTGGTTGGGTTCAGTACTCAGGTGTTGGGCATTCTGGAGTTTGGGGCATTCAAAGTTCCAGAACGCCAGAACGCCAGAACACACCAAAAAAAAAACCTTCTGGCGTTCTGGAAAAAGTGTTCTGGAAATTTCCAGAACGATATTTGTGTACCACAAATGAAAACAGTCGAGACTTGATTCATTCCATTACAATTTTCACTGACTCTTGGGTGATTGGGCAGAGCGGAGCAAGTGTAATTGATTGGTCACTATCTATACCTTATCTTTGATTTCCCTGCCCATATCTTGATTGCCATTGCCCGCTAAATGATCTGAGAGCAAATAGGAGTATTGCCGTCTACGGGCTTTCCTTAAATCTTTGGTAGGATGACTTGGATTGAGTCTAGACTTGAGCCTGTTTTTACTACACTGACCCAAAGCTTGACAAAGCCCCCTCACGAGCGCGATCACTGCGCCCTCGAGAACTGTAATTTTATCAGTCATGATAGGTTCGCTGAAAGGGTCAGGAGTTGTTTTTGAATGGCTTGCATTCCTCAAGGCTCATACATACCACCCCTAAAATCCGGCAACGGCTTAGGCAAAATCAAAGTATCAATGGGGTCAGTTGCTGTATCTTTTGTGCTCCTAGAAAGCACAAAATGAATTCACAAATCAAGCTTTGGAGGTCCCGATAAGGTGCCTTTGGAGTTTCAGTAACACTTGTGCAAAGCATCCTCAGGCTACGTAGGTCGCTATCCTTCGCTATCTAATCTTGAAGCTTCCCAATCTTCCAAAGGCAGGCCAAGTGCGAGCTGACATTCCTTCTTCTCTGTCTATTCTACCACAGCTCACTATCATAAGCGCATCCTTTGATCACTTGCTACAAAAAAAGACCCCTATGCAGTCAGCCAAATTTAACAGAGTCACTCGCCCGTAAGATCAAACTACCTTGCTGCTCGCGCTTCGGTCGTCGGAGCAAGGACTTTTCATAGTTATACAAGCTTGCTATGCAGCCCTACATATATCCTTATGTAAAATCATTTCCATTCTCCGCCAATCCTTTCTATGACATCATGATATATGGGATTAAGCAGGCAAGGGCAGAGCGGATGACAGGTCTCTACCCCAAGTAAAGTGCAAATTAATCTGTGACATGGGTGTGTAGTAGGGGTATAGGTAGTGACATGTCGAAAGACCGATCAGTGGAATTGACCAGTGGCATATAAAAGTTATGATCGGTAATCACGCTCAACTAATTCGTAGGGTAACTCAACAAGTTCGTTACTTCTCTCCTACTACTCAAGATCGTATTAACTTCACTACTACCATGAGCTCTCAACATACTACCCGGTAAGCATCCTGATTTACCTCTTCATCACATCCAAAACCTTTCTCTATCCCGTTCAGCCAGAGGAACAGCTGTAAAACTGCTACGATGGTTGTTTACGGAGGAGGACAATGACAGATGGTTTTTGTATTTTGCTAATCAAATGTCTTGTTTCCCATGACCGCATGATGAAATTGAATGTGGTCGCAGTCTGATCGGTGCCCCCAATACTCTCGGTAAGTTGATGACTCGCCTTCAGCATGCTAGGGCATGAGATGATCCGAGCAACATGGATTGAAACTCTATTTGATTCTACAGAACATCGAGTGTACATCGAGTCCAACGGCAAAGCGATCTCTGCCTTCCACGATATTCCACTCTTTGCCAATGAGGAACGTACCGTCTTCAACATGGTAGTTGAGATTCCACGATGGACGAATGCCAAGATGGAGATTTCAAAATCTGAACCTTTTAATCCAATCGTACAAGATGTGAAAAAGAACAAATTACGTTTTGTTCGCAACTGCTTTCCTCACCATGGTTATATCTGGAACTATGGAGCTTTTCCTCAAGTAAGTAGTTTGAGGGTTTCGAATCATTGACTTGAGTTGATCAAAGGCTCAAACTGATCACCATGTGCTTGTTCAGACCTGGGAAGACCCTAATCACACTCATCCTGAGACCAAGGCTAAGGGGGACAATGATCCATTGGACGTCTGTGAGATCGGAGAGGCCGTAGGTTACGTCGGTCAAATCAAACAAGTCAAAGTTTTGGGTGTTATGGCCCTCTTAGACGAGGGTGAAACCGATTGGAAAATTTTGTAAGCTTAATTGTTGCCTATCCAAGAACATGGTATTCCGAGTGAATTGCTGATGATTCTCTATCTCCTTTGTCATCTAGGGTCGTGGATGTCAACGACCCTTTGGCACCTAAGCTAAACGACATTGAGGATGTCGAAAGACATCTCCCAGGCCTCATTCGGTGAGTATAGTTTTGTCTTCGCTTGGTAAATGCGATGCGTTGACTCTCAATTCGATCATCTCGTTGGTTTCTATAGTGCCACCAACGAATGGTTCCGAATTTACAAGATCCCCGATGGCAAGCCCGAAAACCAAGTCGGTATCTTCCCTCCCGAGTAAAGATGCTCCCCGCAGATTTTGATCCAATCCGATTCTAGTTTGCGTTCTCAGGTGAAGCAAAACACAAAAACTATGCCACTGAGGTCATCATGGAGTGCCACGAAGCCTGGAAACGACTCGTGAAAGATGGTCACCATGGTATCTCACTGTACGTCTTGCGACTTTTTGATGATCACAGCTATGCTCCCTCTTGGATTTATTGTGCTGAACAATATTGTTGCATTTTTATAGCGCGAACACAACAGTTGAAGGCTCTTCCGCCCGAGTTCCGACGGCCGATGTCCCTGCGGACTCACGAAAAGACCCAGCACCAATTGATCCCAGCATTTCTAAATGGTTCTTGTAAGTGATATCCTATGAGTTGGTAGTCGAACTTCTGATGATAATAGAGCTGATGAAAACATTCTGATCTCAACTTTAGCATTTCCGGACATTGCGTCTGAAGCAAGCATTGGTCACGCCAACAATTTATTTACATACCGAAAAGCAAAGTCTTCCTTAGAATTATATCTTCACCGCACCCTGTAGATTCAAATCAGTATTGGATGCAATTCAATTTTTCTGAAATTAATTTCGTGATGACAGCAATTGTAACGTCTGCCTTATAGATTGGCAAACAGTGACCTGGTTTGAAAGTAGTAGACAGGTTTGAAAGTCTTGCTGTAGCTTCGGCTCTGGCACAATTTGTATCTGAATGTATGTGCTACTCAGTTAAACAAATCCGATGAACCATTGATCAGGATCCTGCACTCTAGACTTGCACCAAAAAGGAGGAGAAAGCTTACGGCCAAAGAGTGTATCATCAATCAGCTTTAGACCTTGGAGGGGACTTACACCTAGAGTCTGCTCAGCTCAACTAACCAAGTGTAAAGCATTCAGTCATCACTGCCTTATGCTGCCATTCATCCGTGTCTATGATTGCCTCGCTGACCACTTCCCTAGATCACTGCCTATTGACATTCACCTACACCGCATGAGTCACTCGATTCATACCACTAACCTATGCCTTTCACTCACTCTATGTCCTATCCCAAACCCTGACCAAGACTCCCCACAATAAGAGGACCATTTTGGATGCTCCTAGGACTGGGTTAAATTTGATGCTTCTGTACCAGAGACAACAAGCTTCCCTCACAGAAATCCCACTTGGTCAGTAGGTCCCTTGGTCCTCTGTGCTGTGAGAACCCACCCTCAAGATGCCAATGACCAAGGTCCGGACTTGCACATGTTGGATTCTGTTGGATTACTCTTTGCCAGGGAACAAGGGAAACACAAATCATGTGTCGCGGCCTTCTTGTGTGTAAGGTAATCAAAATTCATACATGGGGGGCCATATCCTGCTTTTCCTTCACTCTGGACTTGTGCCGTCGAACCATATGAGGTTTGCACCTTGTAGCTCTACCCTTGTGCTTCATTTGATAAAAACCCTGCTCTTATTGAGGGTTGTGATGTAAACTCCAACATTGATCTGGATGGTTCCCCACCTGAGATGGGGGGCTTGTTTCATCTTGGTGTAACAAACAAAAATGTCTGGACAGGTGTAAGCCAGGCACCATCCACTGTTTTCACAAATTTTGTGACTGGAACCAAACTTAACAAAGTCCCATGCTTGTGTACCTTGCAAGACATTGAGTGAGGGACTTACCACCAACTTGTACCCTCTATAACCTGAAGGCAGAGCCTTGTGCAGGAGGTGTTCTTGAAGTCCACTTTCATGTACAGTACCTTACCAAAGATTTATATGTGGTCCCAAGAGGAAAATTGTGTGCCGGTATCTTGTACTAAGTCTACCCTCTTTTTCTTTTTTCCTGAGGAATTCAATCCCTTCTTACCAAAGATATGTTTCAAAGATTGGGTATTAGCAGCAAATTTGAACTTGAGGAAGAAGTTACATGTGGGATTTTCCTCCAAGAACCAATCTTTGATGTAAAGTTTAGGTAAGAGGGGAGCACTTTCCTTGGGCAAAAAATATGTACAATAACGGTACTCAAAGTTGTGTATACTTTGCCATGCATAGCTTTTTTGTGTTTTTTCGCAACTACAAACAACTTGGAAAAAGTATGTTTCTTGATTGAAGCTCAAAGATATGTACTTTTAAGCCAAAAATATAGTTTTCCCTGGTTGTGTGAAGTTGTGAAAAAAGAAAAGAAAACTATGCACAGCAAAGTATACACAACTTTGAGTACCGTAAATCTGCACAAGATCAAGGTGCACAACTTTTTGTAAATGGCTAGAGACACGGGTACCTAATAAGACAGTGCTTGACGTTCAGCACTTTTCTCCAACAAGCAGGTATGCAGACCTGATAAACCAACCTGAAACACAATAAGAAAGAAAAAGAATATGAACACCACAATTGATAAGATATGAAAAATAGTTAAGATAGTAGTGTACCTAAGTTTTACAGAGGAAAGATAAGATGAGAATAAATGTAATGAGCTTATAAGATACGGCTCAAGTGATCTATAGGAACCTTTGATGTGGTAACATTCGTGCTAATACCAGTTAGAAAAAGGTAGTGGAAAACTTACTCTCTTTCCAATGGATGAGGAAAGAGAGATTAGGACGAGCAGATGAAACAACATATATATCTCAGTCACTTCAACGCAAAACATTGGGAAAGATCAGCGCTAATGTTGGTTGGGAAAATAACAGCAAATAACAAAGCATTATACATCATACATAAGATCACTCTTAGACGAGATAAATATAAGAAAGAAACTGTGACACCTATTCCACCTTTCACACTCAATACAACACTCCTGACATCGGTCTTGATTGTCTTTCAACACTTTTTACTGTGGACCATATACAAATCCTTGGTAGAGGATGATGTAGAAAGGAATGAGAAAGGCTCCCTGGAAAACACTCTACCCTCAGCCTATAGAATGTGCAAGTTGGAAATTCCCTTGCTTGCCTGGCAAGACAAGCATGGGGCTTTGTTATGTTTAGACTGGAACTGTTTTTTGATTTTTTTTGACTTATCCAAGTCCTGTGCTGATTCTTGCATGCTTTGAGCGCAGTGATCAGGGAGTTATGACAACCCAACACGCTTTGTGAGGGGAATCAAGTTTGGCTGGAGAAAATCTCATCAAACATATAGAAGAAAGATTGTAAAAAAATTGCTGTTGCAAGACAGCACTGAATTTGTTACATATGCTGCACCCGTTGCTCTTGATGTGCCAATCCTGCCAGGGTCAACCTGGGTCCTGGATACAGTCACAAACAGGTAAAAATTATGGTGTTACACAATGACTCCAAAGTTGTTACATACACTGCACCCATTATTTGCTATGCACCAATTCTTGCCCAGCCAGGGTCATCCCTATGTACATGCAGTGACAAACAACTACTGACCATACTACCGCAGCCGATACAATTGCAGCATTGCGTAGCTATACAGACCCATTACTTTGATTGTCACTTTTTCATTGACCATATGCTAATGCTTTTTTGCACCCTGGGGTCATTCTGTTACACAGTCAAGAGAGACCAAATTTATCCTTGCCATGTTATCCAGCCAACAATTGCAACCATGCAATTGGACCAATCCACTCCAAACGATGTCAGAATTCCGGCCACACCGATATTGATGCCACTACATGGACACGTCCAAAGCATAGTCTCAGTTTATTGTATACATCCTGTCAACTCACCAAACCCAAATTGCAATGAAAGAGTGTAATGTGCATCAAGCTGAACTGGGGTTTTGAGAACCAGGTGGATCACCTAACCATTGAGAGTGCCACAGCAATAGTTTGGCATAGACTACATGCTGTGACAAAAGGGATTGATATTTGGATATGAGTGATTGTTTTTGCGCATCCATTCGTGACAATTATTTGCAATAACTGTGCTCAGTACACCAGCAAACAAAGCTTTTGGCACAAGTCTGGAGCGTGATTTACTGTAATGGGTTGTGTTACAATAATGGTTTGTTGTCCATGTCGGAAATGGTAGAACAGTGCTGACTTGTGTTCTTTCTGTCTATAGCGTGGGGATGATAACACAGTATCTCGGCACACACTGCGATTTAAGTCTAGTAATGGTATTGATGTCACGTTTTGAATTGGTCACCCAATGTTCCTTCAATGGGCCACACAGAAGTGGATACTACAATGTTGGCCGCTTATTCTTTCCAAATGGCTGGCCTACAACGTCAAGCATTGTTGCCAATAGTTTGGTGCCGGCACACCATCAGCAACACCAGGACATGATGCTGGGACAGAAATTTGTGTGGAAGCATTTGGAATAGTAATGTACTGTGACAAATCCACCCAATTTCTGGGAGGTGTGGAGGTTGTGACCTTGATAGTTAAAATCCAATTGTACGTGACTTTGATCAGACTTGCGTGCATGAATTGACAGCGGCATTGGTTTTAGGGCAAAAGACATGTTGTATTTACAATAATGTACAAATACAACAACTCTGTGACAAATTTGTTCACAAGAAGAATATATGCAATGAGAAACATCATTGGGCTCATCCCCAGGGTTGTGGGATGGTTTACTAAGCGGCAAATATAGGTGGTAAAGGTGGGTCACTGTTATTGATTGATATTACTGTATGTTAAATAACACAAAGTGCATGTCAGTGATATGGATTTGATAGCGATGAGGGGGATGCACGGACAGGACTAAACACCCGGTCCCAGTGAAGTGATGTCAGAAACATCTGGTGTTACTTCATATTGGTGTGGGACGGTTGGGCACGGGAAATGGGTTTTTTTCTGAAGGGTTGTTACCCAGAGAGTGCAGTGGGTTCCAGTGGGCGGAAGGGAAGATGAGTTAATGGGTCTCAAATATTGCCGGGACCAGCATCTATGTTGTAACTAAATGATACCACGATGCAAGTTGGCGGTGCGGGGCAACATGTTGTTCATGGCGGAACGATAATAATGACAAGGCACTTTGATTTCATTACAGAAATATGCAGTGAGACGTTGCAGGTGGACACCCCGGTGTCGGCCTCGGGGCTGGAGTATGGAACAATGTATGGAGGGAATGAGGTATATATAGCAAGGCAAGGGGTGTAGCTGTAAGGCAATGCCAGCTGGTGGTGCCCTATGGGGGAGGGCAAGGGGTGAGTGATGCGGGATCAGGAGGGCGGCAAGCCGCCCCCGATGCTCTAGTTCCTTATAAAACCTTTTCACCTATTCATAGATTTTTGTTTGCCTTCCTGAGAAGCCCCTTTCTATGTATCATGAAAATTCTCAAGGAAACCAAGGAATACTCTTCCAAGCTCCTTCTGAAATCCATGATTTTGCATCAAGAGCTTGACCTGTATCTGAAAACTGAGTGGTTCATACATAACCACGCAAATTTGACAGAAACCTCAAACTTCCAGGGAAAGTAGGGGGAGGAGTCCTCCAAGTCCTTGTTTTTGTTACTAACTCAATGCGGCTCAGAGAGCCAAAAAAAGTTCTTTGCCTCATGAACATCC